TAAGTTTTACCTTGCAAGTAAATAAAACCGAGTAATTATCATTCTGTGTTTTCTTCTTCAACTTATCACAGCAATAGTAACAACAATTAGGTAATCATTGGCTGTCGCGGGCCAGATTGATGACAGTAAATCATTGGCTGTCGCGGGCCGGATTGATGACACTGGCGGGCCGGATTTGGCCCGCGGGCCGTAGTTTGGAGACCCCTGGACTAGATAATTCCCTGCCTTTATTCTTCCGGTACATTTATTCCACCGCTGTCTCCAGATATAATCACTTGGTTTTCACAGATGCATGATCCCAAACAAAATATATAGTTATGAAATTATCCCCTGAAGAAAATCACGCTGGCAGACGCTGGTCTTCGCCGACCGACAACGGCGCTACGACCGCTAAAACCCACGTGTGTGTGTCTCTCTCTCTCTCGATCTTTCCGGAATGCCGCAACTGTTCGAGATTTGTTCCACAGACTTCCAAAGAGTTGAATAGAGTTATATAAGCATTACCACCAGTAGGAGAGTCAGTATAATTCTGGAAGTGAAGTTCGAAGTGAACTAATAAAGTGAGCATTGAGTTAGAGTTTTTGTGTTGCATTCTCAATGTAGTGATGAAATGAAGTCGAGTTTGATAGTATAGTGTGGTCAATTTTTGTCGAACTCAGGGAGAAAACGTCATTTTCCATGAAATTCTTAGTTATTTCTGTTGCTTACAAAAACTTTCTGTACTTACGTGGCATTCATCAGCATTTTGTTCACTCTGACACCAGTAACTTGGTCCATAAGTACAGCGATGAATTCCTAATTGAGAGTCCTTTCTAATCTCGGATGAACACAGTTGATATTTTGCACAAATCTTGTGCGAACTTACGTGTTTAGTTACGAGATTGACGACTTCCTTGCCATGATTTTCTACGATTGTCTTGCACTGAAAATTTGAAAAAAAAATTGTGTGACAACGTATGCGAGGATATACGTGCCGTCATTAACAAACGGGGGGAAGAGATTTGTTGTAAACGAAACGAGCATTTGTGATGGAAGCGGCCGATACTTCATGAAAATCCACAAAGAGTTTGAGTGACACTCTATTGCGAGATTTCTACAAGACAGTATGAAAATTCTAGTGCTTGTTGAATAAAAAATTAGCATTTTCAAGGGCATTTTTGGGTTTGCAATTATGAAATATTTTTTATTGTAAGTTCGTGAAAAACATATTGAAGTTCTGATAGCGAATATTTTGGTCAAATGTCAAGTTTGTTCGAGGGGTATAATTGTGAATCATTTTTCCACTTTTAAATAGGAAAATGTGAGTTCAAACTAATGAACGTGTCCATTTGAATACAAAGAATGCGCAACATAACGGTTTCAGGGAAAAAATGTCCATATGTTTTTTGTGAAAGAGAGAAAATAAAGTTGATCATCGAAAAGCTAATAAAATCTTTTGTAGATAAAAACCATGTTCAAAAACTATTTATTGCATAGACTGTTATGAAAAAAAATTGATATCCTTACAAAATAATGTTTATTAAAAGTGAATTTCCAGTAATCCTCTTGACAACAACATATTGTGACAAATTAATGAATTAACGGTCTTAAACACATTATTTCCAACAATATTTCACTGATCACAACCTAATTTAGTTAGGAACTAACACTTAATTTATTTCCACTATTTGAATTTCTTGTTTAGCCGCTCGATTCACTTTCTGAACTGCCCTCTTGGACCAGAAAGACGGGCTTCAATCGGTAAAGGTCCTTTCTAGAATTTTACCGGCGATTCCCGACTGCATTCTTTTGAGATGAGGTCATATGTTTGTTCGATGAGTCGGCTGGCCTATCGGTCAGGGGCGGCTTCAAATTCGTTACAATATCTTCCCTAGCAGTTTGGTTCATCAGCGTCTATTGGTGGGTCATCCTCATTCCCATCCTGTTCATCTATGTCTGCTTGTAAGTTGGAGTAGAAATTTCTCGAATCCACCCTTTGAAAAAAACTGCTTTAGGTGTTGCAGATCTCTGTATTTACCCAACTTAATTGTAATTGGGCTAGAATATGAAAGGCTCAACGTCGTCGCTGCAGGGATGCCTTTCGTTTTCTTAATGAACGCACTGAAATATAGCTCTTGTGCAATATGAACTTCGGTTGGTATTTGACAATTTTGACCACTCCGCATGGATCACGTTTTTCTGTACATTCTGTACATACAAAGGTGACGATTTTACTCTGCTATTTGTCAATCATCGGATTAACACTGTGTACGATTTAGGGAGAAACTTTGTATCGTGGACATTGAGGTTTCTTTTCCAGGCGATCACGTACCTAGACATTTCTTCCCCTGGACATGAAAACTTCAATAACCATTATTGAGGTGATCTAAAAATTTAGTTTGAGATGGGTTTAATGCCACCATTAACTCAAATCCGACAAATAATAGGAATAAACATTTTTTCCTCTGGTCCTGTGAAATATTAACTGAATTTCATCACTTTATCGAATACGGAGCACACAACTTTCATGCTGTCGAAATCGATCAATTTGTGTTACGTGAGCCCTATTTTCAATAAAATTAAATAAGTATCCACTGATATATAAAATATATCCTTTTATTTTTATACTGTGACCCAATTATGAAATAAAGTATGTGTATTTATATTTCCTTTAAGGATCTTACCTTTGATACTTCCACATCTTTCAGGTTCAGAAAAAAAATCCTAAACTGTTTTCAATCACTCACTTGTTTTTATGTAGCAGTGAAATACAGGATTAGGTAAAAAAATACAACATACAAAGCAAATTTTATTAGTAACTTATACATACATAGAGACAATCTTATCACAGTTTCCGATTCACATGGCTAATCCTTCCTTAATTCAAGGATTACTAAAGGTCCCTAACTAAACTGTGAGTATCCTTTCAAAACTAAATCGTAAAACTAGTAGAATCAATTCAAGCTTTGGTAATAAACAAAGAGGGTGAAAATCAACCTTGCTTTACAAATCGAGGGCACTGAAAAAAAAAAGAGGGATCTGATTAGAGAAATAAACGGTAAAAGTTTATGGTGTCAGAAGTGGGATAATTTATTGACACTCATGATTTTGGAAAAAAAAAGTGATAGATTTGCAGTTTTTATGACATTATAACACAATAATTAAAATCTTGACACACGGTGTACCCCAGGGTTCAATTTTAGAAGCTATTATCTGTCCCTCTTTCTGAATCAATCTGAATAAACAGTCTTGGAGGTTGAAGATAAATTCAATGCTGCAGATATAGCATTGTTAGAGTTTCACAGAGATTTAAATCTAACTAGCTACCAAAATTTCTAGGGATAGATAAATGCCGATATTTGAAGAACATATGTAAGACCTACGATTTTGTAGGCACAGATATCTGCAAGACGTACCTACAAAATCGTAGGTCTCACATAAGACGCAAGGATTTGGTACTCTCACCATAACTTGGGCATTTTGTATGTACTTCTCCGGAATATGTTTATTATTCTAAGACCCTGGTACATCCTAGTGAATCAACTGCAGGCATAGCTCATGACTAGTTGGAACAACAAAAAAATCATTTAACTTTGAATTATTATGTGTTCAAGTAATATTGTTGTATCCCACAAAAAATCTCCACTGATTTCTTCAATCGTAGAGTGTAGAGCATCAATGCTTTTACAACAATAATTGTTGGTGGATGATTTTTATTCCCAGTGAAAGTATAGTAGTGCTTGTATTCCACCAAACAATTAAGATTGTAGCATCAAATGGGTTGTGATATCTAACAGTAGGTAGATTTAAATGAAAAAAAAATGACACACCAACTCTCAATGTAACATTCATAAATTTCAATAGCATCAACGACAAGTTCTGGCAAGTCAAATTGACATCTACAGGTAACCCAAATATGTTGCTTCTTTCCTAATACCAAGCCAGAGTCAAGCTAAAATGGAAGTCACCAACGAACCCAAAGCAAAACCCAATCATTCCAATTTGTAGCAAATAGGTTGAACTAATTAGGGGTGAGATAAAATGTGCAGTTAGGAAAATTATTTGAGTAATCTACTTACCAGAAAGAATTAGTATTGAAGCCACAATAAAAACTTTTTCAGGAAAACCAAGTCTAATTAAAAGCAAAAATCAATCAAATTTAGGATTTAAAAACAACTACTCAAACAACAGAAAAGTTAATTTCTGATCTTCTTACATAAATTTCAACTGAATGTTAACATTTGAGAATTTATTCCAAGGAGAAAAAACTGTTCCACTCCAAGACATTTTTTAAATTGTTATATACAATTTTTCTAAGAATGGTAACCCTGTCAAAATAAAATTGTAATGAACATTATGAAGTAGATGAAATTTACGACAATTATCAAGTTTTTTCAAGTTCTAGTTGAAAGTAGCTTTGGTTAGATTGGGAATTAGATTTAATTATATCAAGAGCAAAGGGAAATTTTAGAAATTTGGCAACATAACATTATTTCTTCACTATTACCAAATAACAAAAAAAAAACTTAAGCAAAGCAACAAAATTTCTAGGTCATAATTTAAGAAAAGTATTATTATGGAGAAATAGATGTTTTTTATTCTGTGGAAAAGCTAAATGGAGGTCCTCAGCATACGATCTTATAATGAATAAAGTTGATTATTATTATTATTATTATACGAGTTTTTATCACCTGATGTGAGTTCTGACTAAAGACTCTTTGATCAGTAGACAGAATTGTTTAAATATCACCTTCAATAGAAAACTGATTACTTTTTTATGTAAAGATCAGCCGAAAGTCCCCAAAATAGGTCCTGGTGGTACTCCACAAGCCGGAAAAACATGTCATTCTAATTATAAATTGAATGAATAATGATGAATATCATATATTTAAAACATTTTTTTTAAATTTTAAAGATCATTTGAAACTGTCGACATTGTATAAACAAGAAAATCAAATACCCTCTTCACTAGTTTCCACATACCTTGCTTCTGTACTGTATCGGCAATCCCCTGCAGGTTTTCTCCAGGACATGTTCAACTGCATGATCCGCTCTGGGATTGCTGAGTATTTTCTCCATCACCTCCACAGTCATCTCGCAAATGGGACACTCCAAAATTTTTACTGAAAATTAGAATAAAAAACCGGAATATATATGTCAATTCAACAAGTCCGACGTGAAAATTTGACAAAAACAGTGACCGCCACTAAAAGTGCTGACTGCAAATGTGGGGTACCGCAAGGGTCACTTTTGAGCCTCTTCTATCCCACATTCTATGGACAGTCATCTTGTAAATGTGACACTCCAAAATTTTGACTGAAAATTAGAATAAAAAGCCCGAATATATTTCAATTCAGCAAGCCCGACGAGAAAATTTGACAAAAACAGTGACCGCCATAAAAAGCACTGATTGCAAATGTGGGGTACCGCAGGGATCACTTTTGGGCCTCTCCCATTCCAAATTGTATGAACAAGTTAAACAATGTGGGAGCCTGAATTTGATAGACCAAATATATTTGCAATGTTTACAACTTACCTCGAACAGTTTCCAAATAACTTGAACACAATTTGATCATGCTGCAAATTTCATCCGGTTCGAGAGCTGCAATCAACAACTGGATAATGGCGTCACCGTATTCATCTATGACATCGTCGCATTGAGTTTTTATCGAAGTGGGCATCACGTGGCAAACCTCTCTGACAATGTTCTCGATTTCATTCTGAAAATTCATACATAGGTTATAGTGATTCAGCATTTCTGTTAAAAAATAAGGTAAATATTCTACTTTCCCGTGCTACCTATATTCTGTAATAACTGCCACTGCCATAAAATATCATTTTATTCATAGAGATCAAGGTCTCATACTTATAGACTTCAATTCACTTACATCAGTCTTATTGTTTTTGAGTTGATCTTGGATTTCCTTCATAATAAACTGGCAAACTACACATTGTGGTCCATCTTGTTCAACAGGTTTCTGCATATCGACACGATGACCAATGGGAGTATAGTTTGGAATCGGTTCTGAAACAATCGAATATCAAAAATGTCTTTACGACGAAGATTACATTCAGATTTTTGCTAGGAAAAGGCACATTTCAAAAAGAAGGCTTTGAAGTATTAATTATATCACTGACCTCGTATAATTTCGACAGAGCTAGCGCACAAGTTTATTCTGGTACATATTTCTTTCGGTTCCAGAGACGAGATCAGCAGCTGAATAATAAGATCTCCGTATTCGTCCACAAGACTGTTACATTCAGTTTTTATCGTCGAAGGCATAATTTTGCAGATATTCTTCACAATGTTCTCGATATCATCCTGGAAATTGAGAATGTATGATGTATCAGCTTCAGAATGGATTAAATCGTGTCAGAAGTGGTACTTTCAACGATTCATGCATTAAATAAGTCAGTGGTTGCATCTTTCGAATCCAAAGAATGATGTTGTGGTATTCGAGTTTCAAAGAAAAGTTTTGTACCTGCAACACTTGTTTTATACTTACATCGGTCTTCTTGTCTTTCAGCTTTTCTTCAATCTCTTTCATTACAAATTGGCAAATGACACATTGCGGTTTATCCTGAATAACTGGTTCATCTATTCCAATAATTTGTCCATTGATAGTGTCGTCAGGTATTACATTTGTTTCTGAAAGATATAAATAAGATCTATAAGTTAAATCAATTTTTTTTAAATATCGAAGTCTGTTGAAAAAAAGTGAATTTTCATTTTTCTCAAAAAAATATTAATTTACTCATCAAGTTCTATTTTGCTCCCATCAAAGTAGTCCCCAAAATTTGAAGCAAATTTTACGATATTCTCAAAACACTTCTAACTTTCATGCCTGTCACCAAAAAACGAAACATACTAAACAGCGGAAACTGTTATCATATTTGAACATTCACCTTATTTTTTTAACAGTCCATGTATATTTTGATAGTGCTGGTCATCCAGAATACAATGGCAAAAGTTTCAAGTCAATAACATTTACCATTATCAAGATAAACAGCTTAAAACTATCCAAACCCTTGAAATTTAAAATTTTCCATGATTTCACTTTTCTTATTGAAAGGGGAACAATTTTTGGATTGAAAGTTTCTCGAGAGTCTACTTCTCCATCTTCAGCATTAAAAAAAAAAACAAAAAAGCTTTTTAACACAGACAATCGTTACAAAACTACTTCACCTAAATTCGAGGAACATGTTATTGAGCTAAATAAAAAACTCCCATCTTGCTGTTTTTATAATCAAGTTAGTTTCAAGAGAACTAAGTAGAACCTTTGCAAGATATGGTTACTTTGCCTTTTTAGATGCACATACTAGATATGACATTGCCTTGTGGGGAGTATGCAGCAAAAGCATGCTGCAGACAAGAACACTGTAAACCATTATTCATTGAACAACGAATCCTAACAATAATCTCTCAATTTATCCTTGAAACTGTAAGTTTAATTCACTGAAATACAGCTATGCACCAGACATATTGTTCAAGGTCACCCTAATTACATCACTTGTCATCCATTAGTCATTAATGACGTCATAGTGGTGGGGGAAGGCTTAGAACCGGCTTAAATCTCTTACTAATGACCACTCATTTTATGAACTACAGGATTTACTTGTAGTATCTCACTGTAATATAACATCTCTCTATTCATCTATTATTATTGCATATATTACTTTTTTCAGCTATTCCTTCATCTCCCCTTACAAAGACGCCATCTATTGGATCGACTAAGAACTTAATCTTCGAACTGTTACTTTCAATGTCTTATATCATTATCATTATTACCGTTACCATTTCATTAATTAACTCTGTTAATCATTTACTTTATGTCCTATAAATGGATACTTTACCTCGACTCCACATTCATTGGCTGTTTCTTCACTTTGACACCAGTATCCCGGACCACGTGTACAGTGGTCAGCCCCGATAAGTTCTGCGTTTTTTGGTTTTGTGCTAAGCCAAACCTTTGTCTGACAGTGAGATTTAGCCTGAAAAGAAATGAATGTTTAGGCGAATATGTGAATATGTTCATCAAAATGACTTTCCAGAAGGATATATCAATTTAGGTCCATACAACCGCTCCAACCATTATTTTGCCCATACTGTTATGAAACCTTCCAATAAACAAGCTACACCTCCTGGACCTTAATAAATACGAAGTACTGGGCTAAGCATACGACTTAGTCATTCTAGTCCAGATCAAATACAATAACTTAGTGATGGGAGACATTAAGTAAGCACTGAACATTATAAGTGGGCCGATTGAAGGGGAATACTATCCCATCCAAAACATATTAGCAATTACCAAGAGGACATAAACAGAGGGCTCAGGACCTCTAAAACTAGGTCTCAGATGAAATGGGGTCTGAAATCAGACAAGACATATATATCGCAATAGATGTACCTGTTTGGAGTAATGATGTACAATGTATCTACACCCTTAACATCTTGTAATATAGGGAAAGGCGAAAGTGAGACAACTCAAACTGGAAAATTCTCCGAATTACATGAGATTGGAAAAAGAGGATTTCGAAATTTGTGAGGAAAGAACATCAAACATGTTCAAGGATCACATGGCAGAAATAAAACTTTGACATGAACCTAACAAACTGCCCAACTCACCCCAAATCCACATTCATTTGCCGTTTCCTCACTTTGACACCAGTATCCTGGACCACGAGAGCAATGATCAGCTCCCAATAGTTTGGTATTATTGGGTTTCGGTCCAAGCCAAACTCTTGCTTGACAGTGAGACCTGGCCTGAAATTAAAAAAAAGATTTTTCCACAAATTTGATCTAGAATAATACAACAATACAAAACAACTATATAGTATGTGTTAATATTTGATAAACAAAATACTTCATCTCTTTGACGAGTAAACTATTGGTGGAAGTTGGCAAATTAAATCTCGATGAGCTAATAAGTCGGAATACAAAACACTACCGCAGTTCCAAATGATTCAGGCTTCCTTTCTTTTGCTTCAGTATAATTCTAAGTGGCAAATCTTCTCAAAGTTTCGACTCATAAGATTGTGGGTCATGTAGGTGGTAAAGATATTTCTCCTCGGTTTGCAAATGGTTGTTCCCGTTACAATATCTGGTACTGGTACTGAAAGATTCTTGGACCTTCTTGGACTTGACGTCTTTTATCTGAAGCTTCGAGTCAGTATGGTGTAATACTGATTTTAGGTAGATGCATTTAAGTAATCATTAGTGAAGATTGGCGGTCGTTAGGTTTTTGTCAAACTACTGCATATACTTTAGGTTTAGGTTTAGATTCGAGGTCGTTAGGTTTCTGTCAAACTATTGCATTTACTTCAGGTGATTCTGGTAAATCTGTCTCATTTTCCTCCTTTCTAGTACATATTTTTACACATTCAAGAGCATATTCTGCAGGATAGAGATAACTTGTTTCGGTAGGTTGAAGCCAAGGTGAAATTGTATCAATAAGGCAACCGTTCCTACTCACTACCAAAGGCCTCATGACCCTTGAGGAGTGCCTGTTTGTTTCAAATTCAAGGTTTGCGGGGGCTCACCAATGTCTATCAATGCTGCAGTATTTTCTCTACATATACACTAGATCAGGGGTCTTCAAACTTTGAAGCCTTCGGGCCATAATGATTTTTTCAGTTTGTTCCAAGGGCTTTCAAAAAGACTTACTACGATTACGACTATATTACGATTTATTTGGGTTCCCAAGAATTAGCTTTTCGTGGACACGATGAAACCGAAGATTCGATTAATCGCGACAATTACAAGGAACTTTTAATGTTATGGGGCAAATGTGATTCACAATTTGGCACTTTCAAACGGTAGCGTTTTTTCAAAAACCATCCAAAATGAGTTTATAGACAGTGTGGCATATATTATTTAGGAAAATATAAGCAAGGAGATTGAAAGTGTTTCTTTTTTGCATGGGAAATTGATAAAACTACCGTTGACATCGACACCGAGGAGGTAATTGATTTGTTTGCTGCAAAGAAAGCTAGAAAACTAAATTTGATTTAGTAAAAAGAAGTGAATATTCCTGTAGTGGTTTTCTGATAAATACAATATATCATCATGTAACAAAATTTTTCTTTTATTCTTCCTTTTCTTAAACGCCTCAATGAGTTTCCTGTAGTGCTTATGTTTTGTCGTTAAAAAAATTCGATTGCAGATAGTGGTTTCATTAATCTGTGTGCCTGATATAGTACCATTTTTTTTATCAAAAGATAACAACAAAACAAAGCGCAAACAAAGCAACGACATGTATTCAAATTTCATTATAGAACTGAATATATTTCGAAATTAGATATAATCAATCTTCCGTGATAAGGAAATTTCAATGCAATTGAAGTTCTGATGGATTTATGATATAAATGGAAGCGCAATTCTCAATCGACGATCTGAAGTTTAGTATTTTTGTTGTCAGCAGGACAATATAATATTAGTTTCTCAGTCTATTTCAACAAGTCGTTGATATCAGAATCAAAATGAACAAGTTTTCCTTGGTCATCGTTGCAGTCATTTTTGGTAAGAATCATCCCACCACCTGAATTCATATTATTCGTAAATTTATATTTGATTTATTGCTCCACTTTTTTTTGTGTGCAAGTTTATGCACTTCTTTGTTTGTTCGTTATATTCAGCAGTTGTTCCATCAGGAAAAAGAAAGCGATCTTTCGAAACAGCACGATAGTTTCCATGTTTTAAGTTAATGTTATCAAATGGGTCATTAAAAAAAATATTCAAATATAACTCTACAATACTACTTGAGAGGCAGGTAAATTATATAAAATTTTAATCAAGATTCCGGAACTGGATAGCGAAAAGTCACATGAGAAATATGAAATTGATTAAATTCTGGCATTGCATACATACAGTGTATGTATACAGCAGTGTATACAGTGTATGTATGCAATGCTAGAATGATATCATCAATTTAAGGCCACATTTATGAAAAAAAAATGCCCTAACTTACTTCGTTTCTGAGTAACGTGATGTGATAGTTTTACAAAAATGTTGTTCTTAGAATATATTGTACTTATAATATTAATTTTGCCGATTTTGATTAAACTACATGTGTTTGTCTTAAAACACGTTCTCTCCTATCAACTCCTATCAACAGTAGCGTACAACGAATTTTGTCATAAATATCAATCAGGCAATCCTTTGTGACGGCACTGGAATTATTATCCGTAATATAATTCGAAGATCAGACTATCCATTATAATAATTACTGGTAACTTCACTAATCAAGTTACTAGTATCTGATGAAGCTACCGTGTGGTAGCTATAATTATTATCATGGATATCGTTATTAATTTTCATCCATTAACGGATCAGACTATGCATAATCTTGACAAGAATAAACAAAGGAATAAACGAAAACGATAATTCAATCAAAATAACAATTTATGTTAAAATTTCCTTTTAATAACACTATATTTTGGGGAAGAAATGTTTTGGCTTTTCACTTCTCCATTCTTATACAAGACAAAAATGTGGAATATTTCCAAGAAAGAAAGAAAGCAAACAATTTCATAATGAAATCTTTACAAAGATTTGTAGATTAGGTAAAGAAGTACTTTTCAGGCACACAGTGGAAGAAAAAGCCCTTTTGAAACAACTGTACACATTGAATCACGCGAAAGAAAATTAAACAACTACTTTCACGAGAATATGAACTTTATTTATGCAAAAAAATACTTTTTTCTATTCAGTTCGTATTTCAAACATTCGTTATGAAATTGAATCAGTTATCATTCACAGAATTGCCCCATAATATAGGTAAAATTTCACTCACATGGATCACTGTCTTGCTCAATGGCGGACATATGATGCATCGGAATGATTTACATCTATCGCCTTGTTACATCGCCCTGTACCGCACTGTCACTTAAGCTTGACTATATCGTTAGGCGAGTGGGTCCCGTTTATATTATGGTAATCTAAGGCGGTAGAAAATTCGCCGGAATTTCATCAAAGCCGGTAGCATTATCCTCGAAGCAACGTCACGTCTGGAACTGCTGCCAGCGCACATCGAGTTGTCGTGGTCTTGGTCACGTCACAATTGATGTATGGCCACCAGCGGCGGCCGGCGTTAATTTTTTCAGGGCCTGATTTACAACAATACATATATAGGTACTTCAATACATTATTATACCACCAGAGTAAGAGAAGAAAATTCGCCCAAAGTGTCAAAAATGTTTTACATTCAATTGTTCTCTGCTTCCTGCACTTCAATAAGCGTGAAAATGTTACCAATTCGCCAGTTTCAACTCTTCAGAATTACAAATAACAACAGATTTATCGGCATTTAATTTGGGTAACTTCACTTTTTTTTGCAGGAGCCATGGTGGTGATTGCCGAAGAAGATTCAAATTTAGAATCGGTACAATGTGATATTTGCGAGATGGCGTTGAAAGAAATCAAAAATATAGTGAAAAGTGACCACACTGAAGTAGGTTGAATTTGCAATTCAAGTATCTAGTTATTAAGACTCGTTCTGGTGAGTTGGCTGAATTGGGAATATAATCACTTTTTTATTTACAGGCAGAAATAGGAAATATTGTCCATGGAATTTGTGAAAAACTACCTGGATTTTTCGGAAAAGAATGCGACAAACTTGTAGATGAATATGGAAAGCAGATTATCGATTCGCTCGTCAACAAAGTAGATTGTGAAAAAGTTTGTCACTTCATAAAACTTTGTTAAGTTCTAAGTGAGTATGGATAAGTGTATAGCAACTGATTATATAAATAGAATTACAGTTTTACACTTGGCGGTTGAGTCAAATAATTTTTTCTGAATGAAGTCAGGGTTGACATTTCTGGAATATCTCCACCTGCCACTGTCTTAATGATTGAAAAAAATAGTAATGGTGAATTGTATACAGTGGGAAGATAGTGTCAACACCAATTCATTCATCCAAGAAACACTTCACTGTGGAATTTTCACTAAACATTCTCACAAAAACGCAGTGTTTCGCTACACGATAGCTTCTTCAGGCGTGTTGATACACTAGTAGCGTTTCTTATGTCAGCATCAGGCAATACCAAGAATCAGTAGTGAGATTTTTCAGCGCCTCTCTTTTCCTTGAGTGGACCTTGGTGGTTTTGCGAGCATTAAAATCCTCGAGGTTTCTATAGGGATTTCCTCAGCAATGCCGTTAGGTGAATTACGAATACCTGATTCGAAATTGACAATGATATGCTCTTGGGGTACACTGGCTGGGTTATATCTATAGTTTCCAGCTATAGTGCGAGTATGCCGCAACTGTCTTCTAACAGTGTCCCATCGGAGAGGTTGACAACTGTCTGTTGTACTGTGCTATAGGATTTTTCTAGCTCTCATTCAGACTTCATATGTCTCTTGGTGATGGTTCTGAACCACAAAAATAGCATATTTATCAGCAGCAATGTTGGAGGCTGCGTATCCAGCAGAACTGTTGGAAATTTCGATACTCTTTGGATTCTCGACTTTTACTGATTAAGGTCTGGATGTTTGTCGACAGAAGTGCATAATTTTCTGTATAAAATATAAAGATTTCAGCACAAGAAGCTGCTGATAACACTGATTAAATTTTTCAAAGGTACTGATTAGATAACGCAAAATCAAAGTCTTGAAGTAATGTGCCATTCGATTTTATTTATATTAAATTTCAGAGGTACAGCCTAATTCATGTTTTGGAGTTTGAATATGATTTCAAAGAAAAGATTCCACTGTTCCATAACAGATAAAACCAGAGCTCATAAACAAATCATTCATGTTCCAATCACATTGGTATTTTGCCTCACAAAGATGTCATCTGAGTCCAACGATGCACTGATGATAACCATGGTGGCTTGAAACATCACTGCCAGAAGAAGAAGAAGAAGGACGAATTTTGTTCGGCGAACTAATCGAAGCTTGGCTTTACAACTGACCGCCTTGGGGAGCCTCCTTCATATTTTATATTCGTGAGCGAAGGTTCCTTCTTCTCCCTTACACTAAAAGCTGTAGAGAAAAGCAGAACACGATTTCTCATTCGCCGAACACACACTCTCTTATTGACGATAACTCCGGACACTCGCATAGGACATGCCTGACAATTTTATCTTCCTGTTCACACATCCTGCATAGAGGCGTGTCCACTTGTCCCATATTATGGGGTTGCTTCCTTAGTTGACAGTGGTCAGTCAGAAATCCTACTGATAAGCTAGGTTTTTCCAGGTCATCGCCAGATATTTCTTCGGCACCAGCTTCCCATGGTCGCCCAGGGTGATCCTGGCAAGACTGCACCCTTTGATTCCATCCCATCTCTTTAGGGGTTGAGTATGGGTGTGACGTTTGGCTAATTCCGCAATTGTCGAAGTCATCAGGCCGTAAGTGCCACTGGATCCTAAAATTCTTAGTCCAGCCGCTTTCTTGGCTAAAGAGTCGGCAATGCGATCACCTTTACTCCTGTCGTGCCTTTCAACCCCCCGCAGGATAATGTTATTATCTACCGAGGCTTTGGCTACATCTTGGTGGTACTCTAGTACTAGCCCTGTGGTAACACTTTGTCTGTTCAAGGCTAATATGCTTGTCTGCTATTAGTGCAGATTGTTATGTTTTTGCCGGAAATTCCTTTCCTGGTTATTTCTTTTGTGGCGATTGAGATACCAGCTAGTTCTGTTTGAGCCACGCTGATATTTTTTCCCATTCTCCACTTAATCCTTAGGCTTAGTGATTTGTAGTACACTCCACATTCTGAGCCTTCTTTGGTTTTTGAGCCGTCTGTATATATGCGTATTGCAATTGTAGCCTCAATTTACCCATACTAATTTGAATTCATGCGGTACATTTCAATTTTCAAATTCTTTCTTCTTCTTCTTTCAGGTATTCTGGACCCAAATATATAATAGATCAAGCAAAATCGACAAATTTTTGGCGGAATGATTTTCACTAAATAATCCCTACCTTCCAAGAAATAAAATAACGCAAAAATATATCTGTATTTTTATTTAACTACCTATATTCTGCCCATCTAAGAAACATACCTTGGCGGCATCATGAAGGTTAAGTTTCGTTCAGACTAGACTAAACAAATGTATCCTGTTGATAAGTTATAATACTGGGAACGCGAAAATGCAAGCTATGAGTTTGCATTTCAGCTTCGTGAACAATAAGTTCGGCCATATCTGAATAGGTGTGCCCGAAAATTTATTTAAACTAAAAACTGACTAATGACTTCAATGAAAAGTAGATAAAGGTCTTGAGTAGGAAGGGTTATGAAAACATTCGGGAATATTAAACAGGGGTCAGACCAATCAGGGGATGGTACAAGGAAGGAGTCTTATGGACAGTTTTTAGAACTTGGAAATACTAATTAGGTAGTTATTCGGGGAGACAGCGGCGGAAGAGAGTTGCGAAAGTCGGTCGCGAAAGGGAGTTGGGAAAGTCAGTTGCGGAAGAGGGTTGCGACAAGGGACTTTCCCTTGATGAGGTGATAGGAGAAGAAAACAAACATTTCCATGATTTTTATTCATTTACAATTAGTACAAGCGTTCAAACTTAACAAATTTGTATAACGCTGCAAATCGTTTCTGTGCTGAAAGAGTTGATAACCAAATCGATGATCTTGTCCGCATATTTGTCTATAAGATGATCGCACTCTTTCTTTGCTTTACTAGGAAGGACACAACAAGCCTTATGGATAGCTTTTTCAACAATTGCCTGCGGAAGAAAAATCAATTGAAACAAAATTGTTGATATGACGGGATTAATGTTTGTGTATTATGGCCTCTAAATGAAACTACGTATAATAATGATGTCCCAAAATCTGAACTGACATAATACGTCTGTAGAATCAATCATCCTGGCCTCAAGGAGAAGAGGATCAACAATACTATCTGCAAGTGGTAAGACTGTATATGCTCAGCTCAAGATCAGTATACACGACCATTGTGTTGTCCTCACTGTTGTCCACACTGTTGTATAACGTTTTAATCGACGAGTTACGGAGTCTTCTAGACTTATTCAGCCTAGTCCAGAGTACAGATATTGATAGAGTGAGATGGAGCATACAGCATATTTTGAATATTCATAACAAGATGAAGCAAAAAAGAAGGGATGAACATAAATTCCATCACTAGAAATACCAAGATAGAGGGCCTAGGACCTCAACAACTCCGAGGTGATGAGATACAGAATAAAACAGGATGGACAGAATAAAAAAAGGATAAGCTAGCACTGATGGTGGCCAAACGTACTTATGGTACGTCTTGGGAACAGAATCCAAGCATGATGAACCGGGAAATTTCATCTGTGAACGCACATTAACAAATATTTATGGAGAAACTATAATTTTTCCACTACCAGTTGAATTCAAGCACCAAAATTACTACGTTGAAAGGTGAGACATAGTTAATTCTAGGCTCACACGAGTTTCGACTTCTGAGGGTTGCCGTTCATAAGAAGGTGACAGTTGGTTGACGCAAAAATATATGCTGAACGGATTTTTCAACAGTTGCGTCTAGCTTTTACATACATACCTCTCAGGTTATGGAAAAATTTGTGAAAATGGATTTAGATTCGTCAGTAGAATCATCAGCAGATATTCGATGAAAACGATATAATAAGAAAGTGTTCCATGTGGAAGAATATCACTTACTCTGCCCTTAGAATTGTTTGCCAGCTTCTTGATTTCGTTCACAAGTAATTTGCAAGCCCAACATTCGATAGACCCAACATTTGATGATATGTCTGGCTCCTTTAAGACAATTTCTGCAACAAAATTGTCAGTAATATTGTTGGTCAACAATTGATTTTGGCAAAAATACTAAGATTAAATGTTAAATTTTCAGGTAAATATCGGGAGGAATAGAGGTACACTGAGGAAATTATGACAAATAAATATTCAAAAAGCTAAATGAATCGTTGACAATCAAGTACCTGAGTGAATAAACTGTTTCCTCATAGATTTCAAACCTATTAACATCATTTAATGAATGTCCAAACTGTAATATATGCTACATTGTAAATGCACCTTAACAGGATCCTGACAATTGACAGTGCCTAGAGGGTTACTAGCAATTGAGGTTCTGTGGTTGGGAGTATTGGGAATAATATGTTGGGTAATGGGTGAGCCAGATTCTGTATTGTGATGTTCTAAGTTTTGATAATAAATAATTATAGTTAAATTGGACCTTTTGTTGTGTGAATATACAATACAAACATTTACCTTCTACAGTTTCTAATTGATCACCACACAACATAAGCAGTGAACATATATTCTCTGGGTCCACAGAATCGGCTATCATCTCGATGATTTGTTTTCCATATTGGTCCACAACATTCTCACACACTGACCTCAATGCACCCGGTAAAACTTCGCAAACTCTCTTGACAAGATGTTCAACTTCAAGCTAAAAAAAAATCAAATGACTAGTTTTCCCTCATTTTCGAGAATGGTCTCTATTCATCTTTCACACAAACATGTTTTAACCATAATGTTTACTAGTAACCTGATATTCAGTGTTCGGAACAATTCGGAAAATTGCGCGTTGATTTCGGGTTTATAAGCAGGTTTTCTATGCTTGACGTTTCATCTGCTACTGCGGCAGACATTATCGAAGGTGATTCAGCAAGGATCGAAGTGATCCGGGATTGAGGGGGACTATTTGAAGGGGACAAAAAAGAAATCGATAATGAATGAATAGTTTTTGAGAAAAATTAAAATTTATCTTATTTTTTAAACAGACTTCGTATTTCCTTGTGAAGTATTTTATCACTTACTTCTGTTTCTCCATTTTTCATCAAGTATACAGCTCCTTCCACAACGATTTTGCAAGGTTCGCACAGTGGTTGTCCATCCAATTCAGCATCGCTGTGTATAAATAAAAGTGGTTAAGGGGTTATTTTAAATTCGAATTTACGCTAGTACTTTATTGGTCCTTGAATATACGAGGTCTAAAGAATGTCCTATCAATAAAATATCAACAATGAAATGCGATATAGTACAATCAATATGATAATAAGCCCCTTCTTTGAATATTACACATTTAATTTTTTTGTCGATTATTGAACTTTTTTGATTACACAAGATATCTCTTAGAGGCTTTATCAATGACTCAACAAACTCAATGAATGGACTGTATTAAAAACTGGCGGGGTATGATCCACTGTGTTCTCCATTAGATCAATATAAAGCTTAGGACGAAAACTACATGCTATAAGTACACTCATTATCTTTCAACACTAAAGTTTTGTCTGTCATTTTTACTTACATCGAATTTAATCCTTGTTGCTTTGGTTCAACGAACATGCCATTTGTTGCAGCTGGAGAAAAAAATAATTGAAACTCTGATGACGTTCATTGTTTTTCCAGATTATTCCAACATATCTGTAATCTCATTTTTCACCATACCATCGCACAGACGCAATACCAGAAATTTGGTTACGATGGAATCAGTTCAGAAAAGTATTGTATACGTTAATAGTTTCACAATTACACCAGAATTATTCATTTAAGTTTTTTGAGTACCTGCTGTTATGTAAATGACATTCTAGGATAGTTTGATGTATCAGTCCACCTGATGAAGCGCCCTGTAGCGAAACGCATGTCATATAAAATTCACTGTGTATAATATTCAACTTTGGATCATGTATAGTGTTATTAATTTCCACCAAATATGATTAGGTTAGGTTAGGTTCAAAGTGAGTGGGTCTATTCGACCCTCCATCGCAACCCGCAAGGGTTTATTGTGGCTAACACCTGATCACATTCGACCAAATAAACCCAGCTTCTTAACAAAGCCGATTAGTTTAGATCAGGGATCTCCAAACTACGACTCGCGGGACAAATCCGGCCCGCTAGTTTCATCAATCCGGCCCGCGACAGCCAATGATTTACTGCCATCAATCTGGCCCGCGACAGCCAATGATTACCTAATTGTTGTTACTATTGCTGTGATAAGTTGAAGAAGAAAACACAGAATGATAATTACTCGGTTTTATTTACTTGCAAGGTAAAACTTAACGACAGAAATGATGACAAAGAAAACTTAACTTGAGTATCTAAGTTTGAGCATATTAATAACTAACAAATAATTGAAATGAATCACAGTAAAACAAAAACACTAATGAGATTTATGTAATTGTGATTTTCCACCGAAAATACTTTGTAGTTGTGGATCAATTTTACTTGTACCAATTATCAAAAGAGATTTAAGATGCTCATCGGTTAATTGAGATCTGTAAACATTCTTGTGTATTTCAACTTGGAAATCTGTTTCTTGCTCGTGATTTATTCCAATTGGACAACTTTGTTCTTGTGAATCAATTCCAAAAATTTCTTTGGAAGATTACTATTTACAGGAATTCAAATCCAACTTGGATCCCAACAAAAATATTAAAAAGGTCTTCAAACATGTTAAATGGTAGTCTTGGACACAGTAAAGATATTGAGTTCTAGTTGCAACTTAATCTTATCTTTTTAACCTCTGCGAATGATTTCGTTTTTACATAGATATATAATTACTGAAATAACCTGGAGAAAAACGATTTGAAGTAACAAATTAATTAGAATACTCGAATTGAAAAAGAAAATTTTCTCACCAAAAACAGCCACAAACACGGCAATAAACAACTTGTTCATTTCAAGCAGGAATTATTTATTGGCGTTCGAAAAAATATAGGAATGCTTTGATTTCAATCATGCCTTCCTTTATATCTGAAATGTCAACGAGATTCATTTATTCCCAGCCCAAGTATTCCCTTATCTTGTACAACAATTAAAATCATAATCATTGTGGTGTCGTTCGCAAAATAAATCAAAAGTTGAAGCTGTTTCCAATTTTTCTGTTATATTATTCGGATCTCGAGATAAATTACTTTATAATCATTTTACTTGAACTCTAACCAACACAGATATACTCATATAGGATGTTCAAGCATTTCAACTCCTGCAATAGGCTCCGTTTGGGATAATTTCTTTTTCCTAAACTTGTGGAAAGTGGAGTAGGTAACATTAACACTCAAATTGAGAAAGGAGTATTCTTAGGAGAGATACAACTGCCATACAACTACCGCAGGCCGGTTTCAGGCTGTTTGGCCACTCGTCAGTGCTGGGTAGTGTCTATCATCAACATAAATGAAAATTAAATTACTTCAGAGTATCGTTCCTCGAACTAGGTTGAAGCGGACAAGAAACAGCAGGTTTATCATCGCTCCATCTGCCTGTGAACGAGTAACCAACCGCATACCCGAAATTTGCCAATTCCTCGTTTAAGAAAAAAAAAACTTTTCACATATAGTCAGTGAGCATACTCCAAGTAAACATAATCAAATGCCTTTTGTGGTATTATCCAGGAGAGTAGTTGTCTTCTGATAGATGTCAATCCATAAACCTACAGTGTAGGGAGTTGAGACTGGCCTGAACAAGTTGTCCCTTCAGATGATTTAACAAAGGGAAATGGTTGATTTATTGAATAATTTGGTTTCATTAAATGAAATCACAAACTAAGATTATCTTTATTTTTAACATTCTGGTAAAAGTAATTCATAATATAATTCACAATATAATTTTCTTTATCAATAAACTGCAGCAACTAATTTCAATCAGATCTTGAACCACTTTCAAAGTGTAATAATCATCCAATTAATAACTTTGCAATTAGTTCGGCCGAGTCTTACCTGGGTTTTGGAATGATGGGTTCATACCAGTTGATGCTCCTGGTCTCACCTAAAATATCATAATTCATATCTTTTAACTTTGTTGGTGAAAATTATAATACCTTTTTAACAAACTCTTCTTCGGGTGGACTTTTCTTGAATCTGTGTTGATCCCAGAGATCTTTGCAGAAATTTTTGATCTGTAAAATAATACAAATATGTGAGTATTTTAGTGTTTTCGATGTTAGGAGTCACACGTTAAAAGATAAGACTTCGTTAGTTCTAGCTCGTACAAGTTTCGACTTCTGAGGGTTGGCGTTCGTAGGGGTGCCGGTTAACGGGAAGAACATATTTTAAACATTTTTTTTTAATTAATGCTAATATTTTTTGGTTCGAGATTAGTTCTACTTCGTTGTTATTGAGATAACAGAAGTACAATGATTATTAATTCGAGAGACAAATTGTGNGTTCTGATAAAGTAATAATAATAACAAAGGACATCTTACGTAGGGAAATTTTGTAAAATTGAATATTCAAATTATTTTTGAGCTATACCAGATTTATTTCAGTGGGTATTGACTTGTTTCTTTCAAGTAGAAGACAGAGTTCATTCACGTTAAAACCTCACATCTTTTGTTGAAGTTTCCAGTGAAATCAATGTGCAACATGTACAATTCAATTTGCAATCACTGTGATATTAATAAATGTGATAAAACTAGATTGCAAAGATTACAGAACACTTGTGTTTATCTCATATGCGGCTTACATAGTAAGCCGCATATCTCTGAGTTGGATGAACGTGACTGACAGAAGAGCTTCTTCAAAAATATTCCAACCAACTAATGTCCTCCCTACTTATTCCATAAAATGAGAATCAGAACGGATGAACATGATCTGAATATCCGATATAAATCAACGCTAACTCCACCGAGCCACAGAACAAATATCTTCAAAAATGTATTTACTTATTATGTAACTTAGCTAATGAATAGGATTCCAGTCAATAAAAACGATTACTATTGCTAATAATAGTCATTCAATCAATAGAAGTTCCACTTGAAATATGGAAATGATTTATTATAATTGTTTTCGTTACTTATTTGTGTTATTCTTGACATAATTGCTCTATTAATCTGCTATTATTGCATAATTTTTTTCAGCTATTTCTCCATCTCCTCTTACAAAGACGCAAACTATTGGATCGACAAAGAACTCAATTTTTTTAATATCACCGGACGGCAACTGAGATTTTTCAATGGTAATCATCTACTTTATGTCCTATAAATGGATACTTACTTCAAATCCACATTCATTGGCTGTTTCTTCATTTTGACACCAGTATCCCGGACCCCGTGTACAGTGGTCAGCCCCAATAAGTTCTGCGTTTTTTGGTTTTGTGCTAAGCCAAACCTTTGTCTGACAGTGAGACCTAGCCTGAAAATAAATGAATGTTTAGGCGAATCTGTGAATATGTTCATTAAAATGACTTTCCAGAAGGAGTGCAAGAAAAAGTGCTAGAATCTGAAGTAGTTTCAACAATGACCGAACTAAAAAATAAAAAATCGAGTGGCCTAGACGATATAACAATAAAAGTTCTGAAATATGTCATTCCATCTATATTTGAAATTCTATTGAATCTTATTAATCACTCTATAATGAAAGGCGTGTTTCCGAGTGTCTTCAAAACAGCCAAAACTTCCTATTCATAAAAAGGGTTCACTTGAAGATATATATAACTATCGCCAAATATCATTACTGAGTATTCCATCTGAACTTATTGAAAATATAGTAGCAAATAGAATTATTGTGTTTCTCGATCATCAACATGGTTTTAGAATAGCTAGATCAGTTGAGACTGCAATTGCTAGAAAATTCGAGTTTATTTACAATGAAATCGATAAGGGGAAGTACCTACGCAGTTTCAATATTATTTGACTTGGCTAAGGCGTTTGATTCATTAAATAGTGACATAATGGTTAGTAAGTTATATAACACTGACATTAGAGGGTTCCTTCTGGAATGGATAAAATATTTTATGGAAGATAGGAAAATGGTAGTGACTGTGAATAATGCAGTATCTGTTATTCAAGATATTATCCTTGGGGTACCACAGGGGTCCATTTTAGGCCCACTGCTTTTTCTCTATCTATATAAATGATCTTCCGAAGTATATAAAACAAGGTTTTATTATCCTATTCGCCGATGACACTACCATAACAGTTTCCGGAAATACTGTGGACGAGCTAGAAAACAACATTAATTCAGACATGGATGACATTATTTCTTGGTGTGATAGATATCAACTAAAATTGAATAAAAGTAAAACAGTACATTTAAGCTTCGCGTTAAGGAAAACAGTGAAACTCAACAACATCCAACTCTCGGAAACAGCCAAACTGCTTGGTATGTTTATAGATAAAACCTTGTCTTGGGAGCCCCATATCGATCATGTCTGCAAAAAATTGAGTCAAGCGTTATTTGCAATACGACAGATCAAAGATGTGCTTAGTTTAGATGGTATCAGGACTGTTTACTATTCATTGGTGTTTCGGTCCAAGCCAAACTCTTGCTTGACAGTGAGACCTGGCCTGAAATTAAAAAAAAGATTTTTCCACAAATTTGATCTAGAATAATACAACAATACAAAACAACTATATAGTATGTGTTAATATTTGATAAACAAAATGATTTGATATGATATTACTTCATCTCTTTGACGAGTAAACTATTGGTGGAAGTTGGCAAATTAAATCTCGATGAGCTAATAAGTCGGAATACAAAACACTACCGCAGTTCCAAATGATTCAGGCTTCCTTTCTTTTGCTTCAGTATAATTCTAAGTGGCAAATCTTCTCAAAGTTTCGACTCATAAGATTGTGGGTCATGTAGGTAGTAAAGATATTTCTCCTGAGTTTGCAAATGTTTCTTCCCGTTACAATATCTGGTACTGGTACTGAAAGATTCTTGGACCTTCTTGGACTTGACGTCTTTTATCTGAAGCTTCGAGTCAGTATGGTGTAATACTGATTTTAGGTAGATGCATTTAAGTAATCATTAGTGAAGATTGGCGGTCGTTAGGTTTTTGTCAAACTACTGCATATACTTTAGGTTTAGGTTTAGATTCGAGGTCGTTAGGTTTCTGTCAAACTATTGCATTTACTTCAGGTGATTCTGGTAAATCTGTCTCATTTTCCTCCTTTCTAGTACCTACATATTCTTTACACATTCAAGAGCATTCTGTTTCGGTAGATTGAAGCCTAGGTGAAATTGTATCAATAAGGCAACCGTTCCTATTCACTACCAAAGGCCTCATGACCGTTGAAGAGTGCCTGTTTGTTTCAAATTCAAGGTTTGCGGGGTCTCACGAATGTCCATCAATGCTGCTGTATTTTCTCTACATATACACTAGATCAGGGGTCTTCAAACTTTGAAGCCTTCGGGCCATAATGATTTTTTCAGTTTGTTCCAAGGGCCAATTTCTGCCCTTAACTATATTTCTAGACTAGGATAGTCGCAAAGTGCGTGACCTAAGCAAACTTACGCTTTTTTGCATTTCAATTATTATTGTGTATTGTGACACTTAACGACATCTAGTGGCGAGTAGTGGTAGTATGTACTATCTGTTTCAGCTACCCGCTAGGTGGCATTAGGCGTAATTGAATATTTGGAATTACCGCGTTGGTTCGAGAAAGTTCTGGTTCTAGCTAGTGTATTCCGATCACCTCGAGATGGCAGTAATAATTGCATATAAAAAGGCTAGCGGCGCAACTGCGAGTTAGTCTGCGTAGGAAAGGCGAAGGAAGCGAAACTGTCTATTGTGAAATAAAGTAACACCCGTCAATAAAAGTATTTTGATTTGACTTATTGTTTTTATGTGTGATTTGTTAGTATGGAAAAGAAGCGAAAAATCGACAGTGAATGCTGAACGTTTCAAGAAAAATGGAACTTTCAGTATTTTGTGATTGAGTCCAGTAATAAGGCGCTATGTTTAATTTGTAATGAAACCATAGCTGTTCTCAAAGACTATAACATTTAACGACACTATGAATCGAAACATCTTCAAAGTTATTCCAAGTATACAGGAAGTTTACGGAAGGAAAATCTGAAGCTTTGAAACGCGGACTCAAATTGCAGCAATCTTTGTTCACCAAAGCTAATACTGAACAAGAGTCTGCAACTCGCGCCAGCTTTCGTGTGGCTCTTGAAATCGGAAAACGTGGCAAACCATTCACCAATGGAGAAATGATAAAAGAACGCTTGATTGCAGTAGTCGAAGAAATATGCCCCGAAAAGGTAAATTTATTTAAAAGTGTCAGTTTGTCAGCAAACACCGTGGCTCGGAGGGTGCAAGACATCACAGAAAAGATATCATCTCAACTGTCTGACAAAAATTGACATCATGAGTGGTTTNCTCTTCAGAATTACAAATAACAACAGATTTATCGGCATTTAATTTGGGTAACTTCACTTTTTTTTGCAGGAGCCATGGTGGTGATTGCCGAAGAAGATTCAAATTTAGAATCGGTACAATGTGATATTTGCGAGATGGCGTTGAAAGAAATCAAAAATATAGTGAAAAGTGACCACACTGAAGTAGGTTGAATTTGCAATTCAAGTATCTAGTTATTAAGACTCGTTCTGGTGAGTTGGCTGAATTGGGAATATAATCACTTTTTTATTTACAGGCAGAAATAGGAAATATTGTCCATGGAATTTGTGAAAAACTACCTGGATTTTTCGGAAAAGAATGCGACAAACTTGTAGATGAATATGGAAAGCAGATTATCGATTCGCTCGTCAACAAAGTAGATTGTGAAAAAGTTTGTCACTTCATAAAACTTTGTTAAGTTCTAAGTGAGTATGGATAAGTGTATAGCAACTGATTATATAAATAGAATTACAGTTTTACACTTGGCGGTTGAGTCAAATAATTTTTTCTGGATGAAGTCAGGGTTGACATTTCTGGAATATTTCCACCTACCACTGTCTTAATGATTAAAAAAATAGTAATGGTGAATTGTATACAGTGGGAAGATAGTGTCAACACCAATAAATTCATCCAAGAAACACTTCACTGTGGAATTTTCACTAAACATTCTCACAAAAACGCAGTATTTCGCTACACGATAGCTTCTTCAGGCGTGTTGATACACTAGTAGCGTTTCTTATCTCAGCATCATGCAGTACCAAGATTCAGTTGTAAGATTTTTCAGCGCCTCTCTTTTCCTTGAGTGGACCTTGAGTGGTTTTGCGAGCATTAAAATCCTCGACGTTTCTATACGGATTTCCTCAGTAATGCCGTTAGGTGAAGTACGAATATCTGATTCGAAATTGTCAATGATATGCTCTTGGGGTACACTGGCTGGGTTATAGCTATAGTTTCCAGCTATAGTGCGAGTATGCCGCAATTGTCTTCTAACATAGTCCCATCGGAGAGGTTGACAACTGTCTGTTGTACTGTGCTATATATTTCTAGCTCTCATTCAGACTTCATATGTCTCTTGGTGATGGTTCTGAACCACAAAAATAGCATATTTATCAGCAGCAATGTTGGAGGCTGCGTATCCAGCTGTACTGTTGGAAATTTTGATACTCCTCAGATTCTCGACTTTTACTGATTTAGGTCTGGACGTTTGTCGACAGAAGTGCATACTTTTCTCTGAAAAGTGCATACTTTTCTCTGAAAAGTATGCACTGCTTAAATTTTTCAAAGTTACTGATTAGATAACGCAAAATCAAAGTTTTGAAGCAATGTGCCATTCGATTTTTTTCATATTAAATTTCAAGTTTTGGAGTTTGAATATGATTTTAAAGAAAAGATTCCACTGTTCCATTACAGATAAAACCAGAGCTCATAAACAAATCATTTATGTTCCAGTCACTAGCGTAAGTATAGGCATTTTGCTTCACCAAGATGTTATCTGAGTCCAACAATGCACTGATGATAAATATAGTGAGTCGAAACAGCACTGCCAGAAGAAAAACAAATCTTGTTCGGTGAAAGATGTCGAAGCTTGCAACTGACCTTCTTGGGAAGCCTCTTCATCTTTTATATTCGTGAGCGAAGGTCCCCTCTTCTGCCTTACTGTAAAAGCTGTATAGAAAAACAGAAAAAGATTTCTCATTCAGCGTTTTATGTTGTTTGAGTTTCCTGCTAACCCAAAGATGGCGTTTCTGTGGGGGGAAATGTTAATGCTTATTTACGTTCTACAGTAGTTTTGATGTTTATTTCAATGTAGATAGTAGCAGATAAATCTAGTTTAACAAATTCTATCCCACAATAGGGAATTTTCCTCAATTTGGTTTATTACAGCAAATGCAAGTTTGAACAAAATAAAGTTGAGTGTAATTCATGAGTTTTTCAAATTCACTTCGAAAAGTATTCAAATTGATGTTTCAAATGTTGGGATTTAATTTTTAAAGGGATTCGTTTCTAATTCACATATTGGCAACAGCGCCTATATCAAGTTGAAATAATTTATACGTACCTAGATATTCTACTTTAAAATAGGAAAATTATCTTTATAAATCAACATTTAAGGCAAATCAAAAGTATATACAGAACTGTTCGAACGACATGCATAGTATTTATATAAAAAATACAGTTTTGCATGACTTTTTGAAAAATGTCTTCATATATTCTTCAATATAACACAGTACATTGAATATTTTTATGCTTTTCTTCTTGAAAAATTATCTGCATTGGCCTACTAGCAGTATTTCTTCAACCTAATCATTATGTAGAGAAACATGTGAAAATATTTAAAAAAGTTATGTATTCAAAGACGAAACGGACTGGTTTAAGATTGACGATGGTCGTTTCACTAAATCTTGAGACACCCTACATTTTATTTTATGAAAGAGAGGACATTGGCAGATCAAGATCTTCAGTTGATGTGGTGCTGTAGGTTTTTCCTGGTTTTCCTGCAACTGAAAAAGCAAATGCGCCACTGGAATCAATGAAGTCGCCCCAGAGCGGCAATTAATTTTTTGTTGTTTTATAATTTTATGATATATATTTTGGAGATGTTAATTAATCATAACCATTAGTTTACTTGTCTGCCATAAGGTGAAAATATAACGAAAATTCATGAGACATTTATTATAATAATTGCTGTCGGTAGGTATTTGTAGATTTGTAGAAAAGTAAATGAAAAAAGTCAATTCGCATTCTTTTCTCCAAGTTTCAGTCCCAAATGACGTGTGATGATTTCTATTTTCGAAATGAATCGAAATGAATAATTTCACGCTCTTCTTGAAATTAGTTCCACCATTTATGAAAAAAAAACAGTCGTGCTCAATTTCAATTGAATTGCAGAAATCAATCGCCTATATTTCCCTATTGTTCAATTGTTTATGAAGTTTGGGACAAGAACCAAACCAGATAAAACAATTATCATACTTCTGGTAGACAGCTTTGCTGACAAATGGTGACAAATTTGCTGATCTCGTATTATGATTATGACATTCGGATATGTTCGAATAACAATGTCTGTTTTTTTGAGTATCTATCAAGGCATAATAGACAAACAGTCAAGGTGGAGGCAAGATGCCATATTTCTCGAAAATTGGCTTGCAGTTAGCATTGAGGTCCGCCCCAAAGATTATCCTCATTGTTTTTTTCTGTAGAACGAATATTTACAGAGCATAGCTTGAGTTCCCCCACAGAAGAATCCCATACGTGATCTGAGAATGTATCAATGAGAAGTACGCAGAGAGCAGAGTGTAATGTTAACAACCTATTTTAGTTGTCGCATTAGATGAATATAGCTCGATACTTTCTTACNGGACGGGACGGGACGGGACGGGACGGGACGGGACGGGCCGGGACGGGACGGGACGGAGTGGGATGAGATGGAATAGAATGGAACAAAATAGTATGCAATTTATCATGTTACACAATTCCATATTCAAAGAAGAAATATTCGTGTACTTCTAATACTGTCTTTCAATCATCATTTATCAATTGCTCTCATTGTCATAAGAATAAACTATTTTGAAGAAATTCTAAACAATTGTTCAGATTCCTCGGTATTGGAGGGAGCATACTGTTACGGCCCTGAATTAATAAAGTTTTTCAAATGCAATGCCATTTAATTTCTAATGCTACTTTTTTTCAATCAAACTGCATCAACATCGATGATTTTTTCAATTTCATATTCAATTTGTGGGATCCCCCTTTATACACTCATTATTTTCATTTTAGCAAAGATTGTTACACCTGAGTCCAGAACAAGTCTCCGACATCTACTCCAAACACTACGGCAGTCCCTCTTTTCCCCACTTGGTAGTTTCGTTGAGCATCTCCCCTCTGTTGGTTTTATCACTTGCGGGGAAGAACGCCGTGGAAAAATGGAAAACCATGATAGGACCATATGGACAGCTTCGCGAAGAGTGGTTTTATCCGTACAGCGTCCGTACACGATTTGGAATCCAACCGGATATTCCAGACGTAATTCATGCATCGGAAACCATTGCAGACGCCAAATGGGAGAACAGATATTTTTATCCAAGGAGTAAGTACCTGCTGACAAAGGTGACAGCTTACAGAGATAGAGGGGGAAGTAAACTGAGATGGAAAACCACTTTCCAAAGAGCTAAACGTGATGTATAAGTTGGTTTCATCAACTTAGGTAATCTTCATAGGCGATGCTTCGCCTGGCAAATTGATTTCTTGTTACATTCTGGAGAACTGGCTCCACTCGAACATCTGATCGAATTCAGACCAGATCACCTTAATAAGAGTTGTGTCTGAATTCCTTTCGTTTCTGCAACTCATTATTGCCCCTATTTCGTTCAGAAATATACGTGGATCTAGCTGCTGTCCTTTCTGGGGAACTAGCTTCACCTTAACATCTAATCGAATTCAGACCAGATATCCTACAGAAGGGTGATTCTTTCAGTACCTTCCATTTCAGCAACTCATAATAGTCCCTACTAGTTTCGTTTAGAAATATACTTGGATCTAGCTGATGTAACCCTCGAAAATAGGGAGCACAAGGCCATCCAATCATTTTATATAGATTCATGAACTTTATATCTCAGGAGAAATGATCTTTGTTATGTCTAGAAGATAGTAGGAGAGTACATGCGTACTAGAAGCATGAGACGTACATCAACTGAATGAAAGCATTCCTTAGGTACTATCTGGGTGTACATACAAGAGACGAGTGTACTCACCTTGGGGTGAAGACGATTAGCTGTCCAATTATGTCTGCCAAAGGAAAACATTTGATCCACAGCTTTGTGGCCCATTTTTTACAACTGAAATAACACCAATTACTTTTATCTTCAGGTAAAAAGAGAGTTTTTTCACAAATGCATCCAATTCGTTTCTAAATGTTTCGGGGGTATTTTCGTGAGTCATATATGATGATGTCAATAATAAAGATCACAACACAACAAAAAAATATTTTTTGAATGTTTCCTACACTAAATTAGTCACTTTCTACTAATTTTGGGGTGATAAAAACGAAAATAACAATACAGCTTACAGAGATAGAGGGGGAAGTAAACTGAGATGGAAAACCACTTTCCAAAGAGCTAAACGTGATGTATAAGTTGGTTTCATCAACTTAGGTAATCTTCATAGGCGATGCTTCGCCTGGCAAATTGATTTCTTGTTACATTCTGGAGAACTGGCTCCACTCGAACATCTGATCGAATTCAGACCAGTTCACCTTAATAAGAGTTGTGTCTGAATTCCTTTCGTTTCTGCAACTCATTATCGCCCCTATTTCATTCAGAAATATACGTGGATCTAGCTGCTGTCCATTCTGGAGAACTAGCTTCACCTTAACATCTAATCGAATTCAGACCAGATATCCTTCAGAAGGGTGATCCTTTCAGTACCTTTCTTTTCGGCAACTCATAATAGTCCCTACTAGTTTCGTTAAGGAATATACTTGGATCTAGCTGCTGTAACCCTCGAAAATAGGGAGCACAAGGCCATCCAATCATTTTATATAGATGCATGAACTTTATATCTCAGGAGAAATGATCTTTGTTATGTCTAGAGGATAGTAGGAAGAAGGACGAGACATACATCAACTGAATGAAAGCATTCCATAGGTACTATCTGGGTATACGTACAAGAGACGAGTGTACTCACCTTGGGGTGAAGACGATCAGCTGTCCAATTATGTCTGCCAAAGGAAAACATTTGATCCACAGCTTTGTGCGCCATTTTTTACAACTGAAATAACACCAATCACTTTTCACAAATGCATCCAATTCGTTTCTAAATGTTTCAGGGGTATTTTTGTGAGTCATATATGATGATGACAATAATAAAGATAATGACAATAATTATAATATCGAGGTTATCTCGCATCTCAAGAACATGACTGCTCTTGTTATTGCATCTGTTTAGGGCTCATGGTTCCCCACGGTGTGGGGAGTAGTGATAATGCAAAGCTTCGATGAATTCGAAGCTTTGGGAACATGGGTCCGATCAGCTTAACCTTGGGTAAAAAATTAATGAGGATAGTAAAACAACTATCCAATCTGGTAGACAAACACACATGGTTCCCTAGAATGACTTGCTAGATCATCATCTACCATTTTGTTCTTGAAAGTCAAAATCTAGTTTGACCTCATTTTTCCAACAAGAGATTTGTCGTCAGTTCTCAAATTGGCTTGTTTTTTCAGGTATTCTGGAACCAATTACAGCAGACGAGGCGAAAGTTAATGATTACTTGAAAAACTGGGTATGTCCTACCCTTCAGGAAGGTTTGATACAAGTAGTGCACATGAAACCAATAAATCCGCTTTTATTCTTGGCAGAATGGCTCCTACTAAACAATCCCTACCAGCCAAAATTTCCGGAAAGAATTGCGGTCAGCCCACTTTGAATATGTTAAACGAACAAAATACATGCTTATTTTCTAATTCATCTAGTTTTTTTATATTAACAAAAAAATCCAAAATGAAGTTAGAACTTACGTATTGAAGCAACTCATGCTGATTGCATGATAAAGTGTATCCCTACCTTTCTGGAAAGTTTGATACAAGTAGTGAACGTGAAACTAATAAATCCTCTTTTATGGTTCGTCTTCTAACTAGATGTCGTAAGATGCATAAAAATACCATGGTGTCAGCGGCGGCTCGTCAGAGGAGGCAAGGGAGACTTAGACTCCCCACAAAATTTGAGGCTATTCATCGCAATAAATTAAAAGATAATGACAAATAATTTTGATTATTTTTTTCTAAAAATGCTTGGTTATCATTACTTTACCATCAATTTTTAATATAAATACATAATAAGCCCGAAAAAACACTATCACTCACTACGTAGTACGTACCACACTGTATCCTGCATCAACAAAACTCAAACGCACCGCCCATGAACGAATAACGAATAAACCATCAACCTGAAATAATAAATGACATACATTGCAAGGGAGCCAAGCCTTCGAACGCTTCAAAACACACAGGCTTCACAAGACCGATCTAACTAGCGGCATACGTCCCGATTTGTGATTTCAGTTGCAGAAATTATAGCGTTGGAGGAGGCTAGCCTCCAGTTGGTCTACGTTAGTGTACGACTGCGTTTGTTTTTTATTTAATTATTCGGACGGGATGCCGTNAAAAATTTGAAAGTTCCAATCTGTCCTTCCAGCGCTTCAAAAGTTAATCGGGGTCAAATGTAAAAATTTCAGGTTTTTTGAGTTTTTCCCGAAAACCGTAAGTTTTATCAAAAAAATACTTCAGACCAATGTTATAGATTTCAAAATTTTCTACAAAAATGGTTCCTATGATTTTTTCTGTAAGTATCACCTTTCTTGAAATATCGCAATTGTGAAAGTCACGTTATATGTAATATGCACATGTTTCCACACCACCTGTGAGGTAGTGACTCGGCGCGTTTTTTTTAACGTGGTCTACCCAGTAGGCCTATTCCACGAATCGTTATCACGTAATTTTTGGTCAAAATACTTATTTAACTGCATGAAGATTATTCGGGTTGATAATGTTTATGGAGTGTAATTGTCAGTTTGATTTCTTTTGATACTCTAGTCTGATTCATACTCGTCATAGTTAACTTCAACAATCATGTCTCCTGCGATTTCTTCTTCGCCTTCTTCCTCTTCCTGCCGGATGTTCATGAATTGTTAAAATAATGATGTATCAGCATCACATGTATCATCCTCTGTTGTAGTCAACTCAACATTTGAACAAGAGTGACCTTGGCAATTGGTACACGCAGGTGAACACTGTAACCTTACTTTTTTACAGCCGCATTTGGCACTTCAACCTTTCTTGCAATTTCAAAAAATTGTGTTAAGGAGTTTTTCAGGAGCAGGGGGGAGCAAAGGTTTAATTGGTTCCAGAGTATTATTTATAGCAAAATTGCGACATTCTTTTCAAATATTAATCACTAAAAACTCTTATAGTAGACGCTTGTAATAAATACGTATATTCATTCGAACTGAACGTTTAACACTAAAATAAGCAGGCACATGAACGACGCCACATGGACAATAGAATAGGTAGCCAGATGTTATATTCAAGGCCATACGGGTAGAGGGGATTTTCGAAGGGACGACGGTCCTTTAAATGTATATTTTTGAATATAATATATAGTATATACATAAAAGAGACACAAACAGGCATTTTTACTTGCTTTAGTACCTGAATGTGTATACACGTGGCTAATGTTTGCATATTACATAGAACGTGACTTTTACAATTGCGATATCTCAGGAACGGTGATACTTACAGAAAAAATCACAGAGACTATTTTTGTAGAGAATTTTGAGATCTTTGCTATGGTGGGTACGCTGTTTTTTCCGCGAGGTGCATATTTCCAAGAGGTGCAGATATCAAATAGAATAAAATAAACATTATTATTTCATTGTTTTCGTATATATAAAACATTACTGAATAAAATAAACACAAAAAACATCTGAAACTTCTGATGAAAGACATCAAATAGAATTAAATAAACATTATTATTTCATTGTTTTCGTATATATAAAACATTACTGAATAAAATAAACACAAAAAACATCTGAAACTTCTGATGAAAGACATCAAATAGAATTAAATAAACATTATTATTTCATTGTTTTCGTATATATAAAACATTACTGAATAAAATAAACACAAAAAACATCTGAAACTTCTGATGAAAGACATCAAATAGAATTAAATAAACATTATTATTTCATTGTTTTCGTATATATAAAACATTACTGAATAAAATAAACACAAAAAACATCTGAAACTTCTGATGAAAGACATCAAATAGAATTAAATAAACATTATTATTTCATTGTTTTCGTATATATAAAACATTACTGAATAAAATAAACACAAAAAACATCTGAAACTTCTGATGAAAGACATCAAATAGAATTAAATAAACATTATTATTTCATTGTTTTCGTATATATAAAACATTACTGAATAAAATAAACACAAAAAACATCTGAAACTTCTGATGAAAGACATAAANTCAGAAAGATGAATTCTTTTATTTGATGTCACTCAATGGAAGTCCGAACTAATGAAATTCATCATGAAACATTGTCAATCACCTTCAAATAATTTCGTCAGTCATCATTTTTTGTTTTTTCTTCCAGCAAAGTCCTTTCGGAGACACTGTACACTATCTGTCACCTGCTACCACTCCCGATCATACCGAATATGAAGGGGATCTTTACTACCAGCATTTCGTACACCTACAAGGGGGCTTTGCTTCCCCCCCTGTTGATGATTACGCAGGCACTTCCACAGCTTCTTCAATATCCTGTCACGAACCCGAGCTGCAGAGAACCTTAGCCATCATAAAGCCTGACGGTTTGCAGTACAAAGATGTTGTTCTGAGAGCCATTAATGAGGCGGGTTTGAAAATCCTCAACGTGAGTATAGGCATAGAAAAGAA